GCGAACGGTTATGGAATCTCGCGATTATCTGAAAGACGACTGCGTGAGGTTTCGTTGCAGGATTGTGGTCTTGACTCGTCAGGCTCAAGCGCCTCTTATCGAGGATGGTGTGGCCCAGCTGTCGAAAAGAAATCCAAGGGCAGATGTGTTGATTCAAGTCGGGAATGACAAGGTTTTTGCGCATAAGTGGTTATTAGCTGCCTCCTCACCCGTGCTCTGTTCGCGTCTATCTGATCCCCTCCATTTTTCCAAGGGGTTGTTTGTTATTCCTGATGTGGAGCCCGTGTTATTCAAGGTTGCACCTTTTATCCTTTTCTCTTTTCAATGCTCGTGATAAGTTACTAGTTTTGACTAATAGGACTTGCTACATTCCTGCACCAATATGAAGGATTGTTCTTATTATATTAATCGTCAAGATCAAGGTCATAGTATGCACTTTATATGCAATCCTGTGGTGTTTCATTGATGTATTTGATTGTCAAATTGATACTAGGCCTCCAACCCGTGCTTTCAATACCAAAGTTTGTGGCGAGGCTATAGCAGTTTGGTTGAACTATGAAATGGTCTCTTTTTAATATATTTCAATTGTCGCGAGAGATTCGTGGTTACTCGCTAGAACTAAGATATATGGCTTGCTGAAAACAACTTTGAAACCCATCATTTTCCTTCAAAAGCTACGAAGCATTCATTATTCAACTTTCGTGGTCATTCATTTCTCATTGCATGTTTGTCTTGTACATGGTCTTTGACTCTTCAGAAAGTTTTGCTATTACATTAAGCTCCCTACCCTCCGTAATTATTTCTTATTCTTTTGTTTTGTAGACAATGCTCCATTTTATGTATACCGGAAAACTCGAGGAAGATGGTGAAGAATTTGTCAGTTATGCTGGTCCGTTTGTGCTGGATTTATTTATAGGGAAAGTACTTGCAGCCGCGTATCAATTCAAAATGGAAAAACTTAAGAAGTGTTGCGAATCACGAATTTTGAGCAAACTTTCAGTGAAATCAGTTGCATACTTGTTGCACCTAGCAGACGTTTGCTGCGCTGCAGAACTGAAAGCTGCTTGTTTTAGATTTGCAGCCGAAAATCTAGATGGTATTTTTCTTTGCAAAGTGTTCAAGCATCATTAACTATGATAGTCTAGGCAGCATATTTTATGCATTGAAAATGGATTCCCGTTTCTATTTGATAATTAAGAAATTTCTTCTGTGATGTGAAGTTTGTCTATAATATAGAGAACACTGCGTATTTGTTTAGGATGTTCCTGTCCGGGCCTCAATTACCTGTTTAGGTTGTACCTTGTGGTTAAGAATTGGTGTTGTGGGCCGCATTCTTGTTTTACAATGTACCTAGAGTGTGATCCTTCATATGCTTCCTTACCTTTTTTTTTCTACTAACAGAAAATTTTGGCTCTCAAATTTCAGCTGTATTGGATTCCGAAGGATGTAAATACCTTAGGAAATCTTGCCCATCATTGTATGAAGACTTGGCTCCCCGTGGCATATTAGGATGGGTATGCCTTAAAACCGTGTTTTTACAATCAAATATATTGTTTTGTTTTGTTTTTTGTTCCCTTCCTGTTCAAATTTAAACAGCTCTGAGAAAGTGCACCGTGCCGTGCATGCATGAAGAGTTCCGTACCCCATAAAACTAGTGATGCTCCTTTGCTGATATGATTAACTTGTTTGCAGGAATTTAGAGTGACCAGCAAAATCTTGTCTGCTATAGAGCCTTTTGTTGGTCTGATGACAACGTTGCTGCTGGAAGCTATTCCAGAAGAATAAAAGTGGCTTGCCAAATTCAACGTTTGTTCTGCCGAAGTAGCTTCTTAGATAGCTTTTTTTGCTCAACTTATTGGGAAATTCATCTTTTGAATTTGTTACTTGTTTCTCAAATAAGGTTTTTCAAATTAATAGTATATTAACGTTGTTGGATTTGATATTCATATTGCATATAAAAAATAAATGAATAATTTTATCTTTATTGTTAATATTAAATTATTTATTAATAAAACTAATTGAAAATTAATTAAATTAACCTCAATTAATTTTTTTTGTAAAGTCATTAGTCATTTTAATGAAGTGTGTCGTTTTAAATATAAATAGTAATGCAATATTAGTTAAAATTATTTGAAATTTGTTTAAATAATGAAAAAAGCTCCATTTTTTTAAAGAATTTTAGTAAAAATAACAATAGTAATTAGCATTCATGATCTACGGATATTGTATTGGATTTAAAATATAAATAATAGTTCAATACTTGTTAATAGTATTTGAATTTAGAAGAAAAAAATCTCATTTTTTATTTTGTATTAATTAAATACAAATTTTTAACAAAAACCCGTATATTCCCTATATATATATATATATAGTTGGTTCAAATAAAAACTAAGTCTGGTGTCATAACCGTGATAACTATATTTGATGCTATTTTTAATGGTGTATGATACTATTTTTATTATTGCATGGTGCTATCATTTTTAAAAATGCTAATAAAAATTTTATTGCATTTTTAATAAACAACATCATATTTCAAAATAGCACTAAAACACAAGTAATTATAGCGCTACATATAATTAAAAATAGTAGTTCTCATAGTTCTCACACTAGGACTTGGTTCATATTATATCGGACCGACCAAAAATAATAAATCAAATGGACTTGCCTCCACACGAATGTTATGTAAACCTCTATGAACATTTATTATGTACTTGTAGCATTTTCTTTAAATTTATTGGTGATAGGTTGACCAATAAATCTATATATACATAATTGTAGGCTATTATGGAATTTTATTTAGTATAAATATTTTTATTTAAGATTTTATTTAATTTTTGGTTGAAAGGCCAAATTTGTATATATAAATATAGGAAAAAATATTTTTTATATAGTTCAGTCGGTTTGACATTTTTAAAAAACAAAGTCGACATCTAGCCGAGATAACAAAAATTTTAAAATTAAAAATAGATAATAGCACCGACATATAAATAATTCAAACTGAATTTTTTGTTCACTCGATTTCAGTCGCTATTTCGCAATTTGTCAGTCATTAATGTGCATTTCTTTTAATAATATTGTGTGCTTGCATAGCAATTATATTTCATGTGAATATACCAATATATTGTGCAATTTATTTATCAATAATAGGCATTTAGTAAAATTTCTATAAATTAAAGATTTGGTCAATAAACTAAATTGAAATATAATCGACATTCATGAATTTGCAATCAAGTACATATAATTTATCAACTTTTCCAAAAAAAAAAAAAAAACCTAATTTAAAAGTCTCAAATCCGTCTGGTCTCTCCATGGAATTGATGGTGGTGTGTCTGTTTTTTCGGGCCTCAGCAGACGTTGACGACGAGATAAGCAGTGATGGGCGATTTGCAAGACCGAAGAACGAAAAAAAATCGTTTGTGGTCGGGGTGACTGCAGTTGGTCGGACAAGACGCATGAGTTGAGGGCGATGAAAAAATGATCGTTGTCGGAGTTGTAGACTAGACGGACAACGCGGATGTGTGTGATGGACTGGAAGATGGTCTATTTTTTAAGACGACCGACTGCCAATTTTCCTCTTTCCCGGTAGATGAAGGACAAAGTTTCCCACGTTTGCCGGTGGGTTTTCGGCTACTACTGGTTGGCCGGAGAGAAAGGTTCAGATACAGGAATGATGGCAGCGGCCGAGGCCGACGGTGGCGGCAAATATGGTTGACGAACAGAGGTGGCGACCTCCGCAATGAAAATTTGAGAGATTGGTAGCGGACCTGCTACCGTCAGAGAAGCTGGAAGCCGGAATGGGAGAGTTGGGGTCGACAGCGCTGAGAGTGGCACCGGACTAGAGGTTGGGCAGGAGGGTGATATTGTGTATGTGTGTGTGTATGTGTGTGTGTGTGTGTGTGTGTGTGTGTGTGTGAGAGAGAGAGAGAGAGAGAGAGAGAGAGAGAGAGATGGTGGGTGGGTTTGAAATTGGGTAGGATGAGTTGGTGTTTGGTGGGATCCACGGGTTGGCTGGGTAGGAAATTATTACATTGTTCTTAATGTGTTTAGAATTTCAATTATTTTAGTTGTTGGATTATTTCATCTGATGATTAAGATTTATTTTTATCATTTTTATTTCCCCGAGCACCATTTTCACCGAAATGCATCCCAATTCATATATACTTAAATAATTTATATTTATACCTCTTTATTCTTAGTAATGATCAAATTATGAAATTGTATTATGCCGTACCTCATTTAAAATTATACTATTATATTGACACATGTTTTGTTCATCGCAAATGGAGCTGGAAAAGTCATTGTTGACAATTCTCTTGGCATAGTGCTAATAATGAACTTGATCAAAATGGCTCAATTAAATTTTGGTGCTTCTTTTATTAGTGAAGTCTCTAGAAAAATAAAAATATACCAAACGACGCAATGCACCTTGAGTCGTTACGGAAACAACCTCCTTGTAAAATTACAAGGGTAAGGTCTGCGTACAACTGAACCCGCAGACCCCAACCTGTTGGGAATATACTGGATATGTTATGTTGTTTGTATTGACACATGTTAACTTATAGTGTTTTAGTAACATTTATGCATGTTACTAAGTGATTACCGACTATTATAAAATGAAAGTTTCATGTTTCTCTTTTCTAACAAGCAGTATCATGATCACCAAACAAATCTATTTCTCTCTCTAAGAAAAAAAACAAAAAATAAAAAATTCCCATATTCTTCTCGTCGTGAATTTCTTCAGATTTGACTTCCCCGGTGGATCCATCGAGCAGCTTGACAGAGGACGGCCCCTGGCCACCCTATTCGGACCCTATTTGTGTTGAGGCCCAGTTTCTTAGTCGATGGAGCTCGATTTGGCTGTACCGACGGGATCTCGCGACAC